TCATACGAAGCGTAGAGGTCAGCAGTAGATATGTGGGTGAGATGCGCCGGCTTGTTTAAAACAGCTCTAATTTTGCGAGCGTGCCATGCACGCAAGAGTTTAGCTGTTTCGAGAGTCAAACCCACGTCTACCAGCCCGGAGGCCACTGTTGCCCAAACAGTGCTATGCCAGATGTGCAAACGCGCCGTCGGGCCGGAAGTGCGTCTGTTGTGAACAAAGCGTCGAACTTGTTGTAGCTTGGCGTTACCCTCCTGTAGCCGAAATTTAAGAGTCGCTTTCTCAAAGTCTGAGTAGGAGAGCATGACTCCGAGGTACTTACTAAGATAGTGCGTGTGGCTTAAGTTAAGATATACATGATACTAAGAGGTTAAATAAGTTAGCTAAAAAGATAACATAAGTTAACATAAGTTAGAAAAAGTTAGCTTATACAGGCTTAAAATAACGAAACGGAGAAACAACAAGAATCGAGACGCAAAGACACACCATGGCAGACAAAGGCACAAAGGCGCAAACTTTCCGAGTTACTCGCAAGCTTTCTGCGACTATTTACTCACGCAAGACGTCCGGCAAATATCAACTGCTTTAAAAAGAGATGCAAACCTTCCGGCTCATGGGAGTGCAAGGCTTCCAGCTCATATAGAGACTTAAGGGCAGCAGCATCGCATGAGTGCATGCAGTATGCATCCCCGGACTGGCTGCAGTCTTTTCCTCAGACCGCTCGCTGCGGCGACCACTGCAGAGTCAGAACAACATCGTCAAAGAGTTTCCTTCCAGCATCCAGCAAGGCGGCAGCAAGAATTGGTGCTGCTGCAGGCAGGCTCGCATTCTTTGCAGTGGTTCTGCAAACACTAAACACCCAGGCTCTGTCTTGACTTCCATGAACGCTTTGACCGAGATCCAGATGATTTGCTTTTCCAGCCAAATTTCTTCCACCAAACCTGCTTTGCGGTGCAAAGGAAACCAAACGACTTGGCCAAGCTCAATCTTGTAGGGCCCAGAATCCAAGCGATTTCCGTCGCAACTGAAACCGAAGGGTTGAGCTTCGCGGATTTCGGAAATCTGCAGACTCCAAAGGGAGTGCAGCACGGACACCACCGAATTGTGTCCCTTTCCGGACAGATGCTCGATTTTGGTCTTTGCGGCGCGATGTTTGCGCTCGAGAACGAAAGCATCCAGCATCCGACAGTGGTCTCTGTACTGCTGCACTAAGTGCAGCATGTAATGTGTTTTTGGCCTCATCTTCTCCAAGCCGTAGACCTCATGAAAAGCAGCAATGTAGGCGTTGATGGCGTTCTGGAAACGGCATGCCAATGCTTCCGCATGATTCCGCAGAGCTTCAGCAGATTCAGCGTGCTTCCGCACAGTCTCACCGTAAGGAGTGAACTTGATCTGCATCCACAAAGATAGGACGGAGCCGAGAAGGAGAAACGCCTGCAGTTCCTTCTTCATGTCAGGACAAGTTACGGTTGGAAAGACTATGAAACGAATGAGGAAGTGAAGCAACGGAGCAGCTCCAAGCTGGCTGGATGCGGAGACTTTCCAAGTTCCATCTTCAGTGAAATATTTGTCTCCCAGCTCGCGAGCAAATTGCGCCCGGCCGACCTTGCGAGTGCTTCTTCGGTGCTTGATGGAATCATCTGTGCAGGCTTCGGCTATGCGGTCAGGGGTCCAGCCCATCTTCTGCAATGCCTTCAAAAGAAAGCCGACATGCCTGGAAAACTGTCCCTGCACGAAGAAGACATGCATGGGATCGAAGTAGTGCATCAAAGGTGGCACTTCGCGCCGAGTAGCATCGTCCGTGAGCAAGCTTCCTTCCAGAGCATTCCAGCCAACGTCTGTGACAAGTTGCTTGACTTTGGTTTTCCTGACGAAGACCGTGGGCAAACACACGTAGCCCAAAAACGTGTTAATGCCTCTATGTATTTAATGTATATATACACCTATATATATAAGCAGTTGCCATTGTTTGGAAAACCCTGCAAAAAACAACACATGTCTGCGAAATATCATTTACGAGAAAAGTGACGGCTGGGTTCGGGATGCCGCCAGGACATGGTCCACCACCTCGAAGATGTGCTCATTTGTCATAGTGCGAAGCTGATTTTCCGTGGCGTTCAAAGTTCGCAGGCCTTGGCGGTCAGCGTCTGGCGGCAACTTCTTGAAGCGACTGTAAACGTTGCCGCAGCGGAAGCAAGGCTTGTTTCCTGACTGTCCGGTGCTTCCCAGCACTCCATGCAAAGCCGCTGCATCATACAAGCAATGCGAAACAGCACCATGCACGAAGAGCTGACTTCCGCCGAGCTGGATATTGGCACCCAGCTGCAGATATCGCAGGTGGCGGTACAAACATCGTACAAAGCCAGACAATCCTGCCTTGACGGTTTTCATGGTGACAGTGGGCACAACGGTGAGCACGAACCAGCACATCTCGGACAGGAGGAACTCCTCGAACTCGAGTGCGCTGATGTAAAAGCAATACGCCCTTTGCCGGTTGTCCGGCGCCAACGGGTTGCCGGGCGTCACCTCGTCACCATAAACAGAAAACCGGAGCCTGAGGCTTCCGCCTGCCGCCTTCGCCTGGAGTAGACGCTGGAAATCTGGCGACTCCCGCGCCAAAGCTTCCCAGGCATTGAAGACGTTGAGGACGGGGTACCTCAGCGGCTCTGCTTCCGCAGCCGCTCCCGTGGCAGAAGCTCCCGCAGCAGCCGCTCCCGTGGCAGAAGCTCCCGCAGCAGCCGCTCCCGCGGCAGCCGCTCCCGCGCCGCCCGCCGCTTCCGCAGCAACACCCGCCGCTTCCGCAGCTCGTGGAATCTCCACGTAGTCGTAGAGAGCATCCACGGCGGCCTTCTCCGCTTTCCTCCTTGTTCTGGGGTCCACCTGCTCCCCAGCGAGGTCGCGAACGGCAGACGGCGGAGCATCTCGTCTGGCTGCGTGGCGAGCAACCCTCTCGGTTGTCTCGCTTTCCGGCAGCTTCCGCTTCGACATGGTGAATTCCTATATATCTGTAAACAAGGACTTACACTAAAAATTGCAGATGTGTCTCAAAAATGCTTTCTTGAAGAACTTGCTAAAAAGCATTTCTGTTTATAGTTTTTGAAGCATCTGTCATCGGACCTCCAGGCTATGTCTGCAAGCTTGATTTCACTGCGCTGCAGCGGTTGATGCAACGCCATGCGCACAAGTGAACTGACATGAGACGTGTGAGCAACATCGGTGGTGGCAACCTCTGCACGTATAGCTGAAGCAGCAGTTCCATGCACACAGAAACAGTTGGAGGCCTCTTTTTTTTTTTTTTCAAAGTTCTCTGCCGTCCTGTGCGGTAGCCTCTTCTGGGCATTCCTGTTGCTGCCAAACAAATTCGCGACTGGGCAAAGGCATGCTGCCCTTTCAGGGCTTTCCAGCATGCCTGCTGCCAGCTATAGCCTCTTCGGGCCTTCCAGCATGCCTGCTGCCAGGATTGTGCATGGACTATATTTAGAGTTTGCACGACCTTGTCAAAACAAACTCGTACTATAGAACATATCTATAGTCCATGCATGTCATTCCTGACAGCTTAAAAAACCCCCTTCGTAAAGTCATCAACGACGCTTCCGCAAGTCGTTGATGACTGTGCTCAAGCTGCGCAAAGGGCGGTCCATCACCGCAGCCTCGGAGCCAAGCACAAACTTCACGAAGGAGGCTTCCGCACTCGACACGTCCATGCTTTCCAGCAAAGTAGCCGTGGCGCTCTTGAGCGTCGAGCTTGGTGGAAGCCTGGCTTCCGCCAGCTGTCGCCCGGCCAGGGTGCTGGCCGTCACCCGGACCCCTTGCAGGGTGGGCCTCAAAAAAAGCTGGACGACCCGGCTGCTCAGGACTTCCACCCACAGGTGTGTCATCTGTCCCGAGACGGACTTCAAGATGAACACCCTGCGACCGCCCACTTCCGTGGTCTTCTTCAGCTTGAAGTGGTAGTTCTGGGCGTAGGTAAAGCTCACTCGCACCTTGCTGTGGCGGTAGAAGCGTCGGACCCCTTCCGGCACTTCCTCCTCCTCCTCCGGCTGCTCAACCTCACCTTCGGGCTGCGCTTCCGCACCTTCGCCTCGCGGCTCATCAAACTGGCGGTCGTAAGCCTCCATCATGTAGTTGAGCTGCCGCGTGGTCTTTTCGCCGAGCTTGAAGAAGCGGAAGGACTTGGGGCGCTCGGGCTCTTCGACCTGGGACTCGGCGAAGGTCAAAATGCAGCACTGGAAGGCGCTCATGGCGGCGAGCAGTAAGGAGCGGGGGAGGGGCTGCTTGGACTTGTCTCAGATGCGGCTGCATAAACAGCGAGCATTGGAAACGTTTCCCACCTGGCAACGCTGGGCAGCATAGAAATATGCAAGCCAGAACTAATCGCATCGACTGCAAACTTACGTAGTAGACAGAGCACACATACTGCCTTCGCTGTAATTGGGTTTCCGCCCAATGGGTTCGCACAAATTGCCTTGCAACTTCTCGAAATCGATAGCTGCTGCAGCTACAAGGCTTCGGCTCTCGATTTTTGCCGTCAGCAGGCCACTTCCGTTCGTGCTTCGTTCCTGAAGCAGGCTCGCTTTTGGAGCCAACGTTTCTAGGCTTTCGTGCTCCCGCAACTCACCATGAACCCAGTATAATGTCAAGTGAAACCTTGAAAGTTTTGTCTTACGCAACAACTGAAAGTAACTTCGTTTTTTTAAAGTCTTAAACCCTTAAGCAATAAACCTCAAACCCTATGCAAATTTGCATGACACATAAACCGGGTTATGGTGACTGAGAGGTTGCCGTCAAAACTGCATTGCTAGCTAGAACTCCAAAGGCTCCATGCTGATCACAAAACGCATGGGCTCGGCGAGTCTGAAACGCAGGCCAGGCTGATCTCAAAACGCATGGACTGCGGACAGAGAGCGACACCGCTGCTAGAACTGTTGTCTTGGCAAGCTTGTGCTGGGACAGCTGTGCTTCCTTCCGGCAGGGGGTCGCCTCTGGCTTCAAGCTACTTCGAGCTACTTGTCCTCAGCGTTGGCAGCCGCAGGCGCAGCCGGCGCGGGAGCAGCGGGCGGGTCAGCAGGAGTGCCAGGCTCAGCGGAGTCGTCGGGCTTGGCTTCCGCCTTTGCCTTTGCCTTGGCTTTCGGCAAGGCTTTGGGACAGCACTTTGCCAGAAGCGCAAGGAAGGCTTCGTGCGACTCCTGCAGTGTCGCCAGGAGCTTCCGCAGGCCTTCCAAGCCGGGCTCGTCGAACGTGACGTTCTCCAGCGAGTCCTCGGCGTTGTCGGCTGCGTCCTGGACGACCCTGAGCCCCTGCCTCACGGCTTCTCGAACTCCTTAGGCTCCACCGTGGCTCTGCCCGCACTTGCAGCGGCCTTCCGGACGAGGGTCAACAACTTGGTCACCTCCTTCTTGGTCTTCTCGCAGAGGACCGTGTAGTTGATCACCACCTCGCCAGGGGCACCTCCCGGAACGGGCGTCGTGTTGGAGTTCTTGCCCTTGTTCCTGCTGCCGCTGCTGCTGGCCTTCTCAGGCTTGTCCACTCCAGTTGCGCTCAGGGTGAGGCGAACGGAGTCTTGCTCCGTGGCTTCGGTCTTCTTGGTCCGGTACTGCTTCATTCCAAGGGCGGCCAAAGTCGGGATCTCGTGCTCGCGAACCTCGTAGTCCTTGAGCAGCTCGTCCAAGACCTTCCGGTTGTCCTCGGAAATGTGCTCCAGGTTGCCCAAACCCTCCTGAGCACAGATCGCAGCTTCCGTCTGCCAAGAGGAGCGCGTTTCGCATCCCTGCGAGTGGACGAAGGCCTTCTCCCGAAGGTAGCCTGCCACCCATCCCAGGGAGCGGTCGTTCGACCACTTCTCCAGGATCTCCCTCTTGCCCTCCCGATCGGACTGATCGTAGGCTTCCGCCAAGGAGTCCGTCTGGTCATTCTTCCTCGCTCCCCTTTTGGCTTCCGCCTGGACGAAGGACTTGAACCTCTTGATGTCCTCCGTCGGCAAGGCGGGGGCCCGGCCTTGGCTTTGGGCCCTCTTCTTGGGCCCAGCCTTGGCGCCGGTCTTGGGGAGCGCCGACTTCGGTGCCATTCCGGCAAGAGGAAGAGAGCGAAGGAGCGAAGGGGGCGTTAAGGCTTCCGCCGAGAGTTGCTAGCTGGCTGCGGCGTGCACCAAAACAAATGCAAAAATGATACCTATCATGCATGCATGCTAGTGAATCTAGCAAGGAGGAAGCGAAGTGGCCTTCTGGCCCGATTGTGATAAGCGAAGTGGCCTTCCGGCCCGATTGTGATAAGCGAACTGGCCTTTTGCGAGCTGGT